GCAGACACTTCTTTTAGGCAAATAGCTTATCGTCACCAACTTTAATGGGATCATATACAGTACTGGGAAGTACAACAGGGAAGCAGCATCTGCAGTACTAGACCACTGGGCTAGAAATCTGTACAGAGAAGGTGTTCTCATGAATCTCCTGTACTCCTGCTTCCAGAGATGACCATAGCAGTGTGCGGGACCCGGGCCAAATCAGCCTGTGCAGGGCCTGGATGTAGCAGCGGCAGTGGGGGAAGCAAAGGTGGCAACTGGCCAGACGTGAAGTTGGCCTGGCTCTGGGGGGCCCACCAAAGTTCAGGGCCCAGGGCAGTCGTCTCAATTCGCGCCCCCACGGACGTCCCAGCCTGCTTCCATATGACAATCCCATGGGAACAGTAGTCTTGGAGACACTGTGGCCTGATATCAGCTGGAAATGGGAAGTAAAAAGGCATCCAAATTAAAAATTAATTGAGGTGTGGGAGGCAGGCCAAAGGAGGTAAAGCTGACCAAATTCTTGAACCACAAAAAGTGCTTGGTTTGTGGTTTGCACAAAGGCTTGGTCAGGGATATTGTTGTGTGAGCTATCCTGTTTCACTAACCATTATTCTAGCATAGTAGACACCTCCTGACTGATTTATTTAAGGCCTTTTCTCCTGTTTCTCAGGCCCTCTTAGCCAATGTGGTCCCTTCTCTGTTTCAGTCATTTAGTATCTTATACTTTGTTTTTCCTACCTAGCAGTCTTCCATGCTCCACTTCCCTCACACCTGCCAGTATCTGTCCAGTGGTTATCTATGCTGGACATGCTTTAGAGCTATGCATTTATGGCCACAGAAATAGTAGCTGAGAGCCTGCTTCCATTTGGATCTTGAACTCCACTAGTCTCACTGTCCTTCCATGTGTACAGGGTTCCCAGAGCCCCTGGAACAAGTTTTGGAGTCCAGCAGAGGGAGGCAGTGTTCACTGCAGCTCAATTACTCTGCACACCTTTGTGCACTCTTTGGTTTCCATTACTATGAACCTTACAAGGGATTAAGAAATGATTAACAGTATGTACAGCAAAAGATACAAGTAATGTGATAAATGGTTATAGGCAAATAAGCAGGCAGTGTTATTTATTGATATAAACCTGGCAACCCACCAGACCCTATAGCAAAATTTATTTAGCATTGAATAAAACACCTATAAATGTATTAATCCTTTATAAACCACTAATATATGTTTTATTAGATATAAAGTGTGACCCAGGCTTTCTCTGCCATCTGGCTCCAGAATGACTAGTTTCCCTTCTTGCTCCATGGTGCTACCTCTTATTCTTGAAAACATGGCTTCAGGCCTGCTAACAACTGGAGGAGAACACATCCTGTAGTCAGGCTTCAATATGTTAAACAATTGGCAGCTGCCAAACCCAGCCAGTACATCCATATGTTCTCAGTTAAAGAGGTGACATGAGAGTTGCAAGAGGCAGGAATACCAGGAGGGAAGTAGTTAAGTTGGAATTAATTTATCACTCTATACTTAATCTCAAAATATTAACCAAAAGTTAGTAGAAAAAGTAGCCCTTAGATTCCAAATACCTCTTAAAAGTATGCTGGGAATCTGTCACTGAGCAATGCTTCAAGAAGTCACACAAGTGGGAGTAGAGGTGCCGCATTCATCCCCTCAATTGCACAGGTCTGCCTTGCGTCAGGCGGTCAGGGGAGTACTCTGGGCTTGTGGGGCAGATGGACAAAGAAATGTGAAATGGTCAAATGCTGTGGGGTAAAGTGACAAGGGAGGCAAATCAGCTCTGTTCCTCGTAGTATGGGGGCAGAGAGACTGTAAAATGAGGTGCCCCTGGCTGCATAATTCACTGAGTACATACCATACCATTTTCTGTTTGTTTATAGAGAGCATGCCTTATTATGAAATTCCCCTTCTGGAAAAAGGTCCATACTTTCAACAGACATTCAGTGATCTTCAGCAGTCATTGGTCTTACTGGAACAAAACCCTCTGTAAATGGAAGGTGTAGTAGACTAGTAAGGAACTGTGATCACTGAATGGATCTTAATGTGCAAAGGTTTATCAGCTGCATTTTCTCTTTCTTAACAATAGAATACTTTTCCTTACCATCAGAAACCAATTGCAAGTACCAAGTGCTCTGCAAGTCCAGTAGATTTCAGGATTCAGATGAGATGAAACTAGATGCATATACATCAGTTTGGCAACTACCTTATGAAGGGGTAAACTAGAAGTGGAAGAACTGATACACATTCATGTTCACCCAAAAATTCAGGTGGCTCCAATATACACAGCTTCTGAAAAGTTTGAAAGGTTTAATTCAAGCATTTGTTTGTTTGGCAGATATATCTTAGTAATACAAACTGTCTTCTTTTGTTTTATTTCCAAGTTATTTAAAAAGTAGGGGGAAAGTTGCAAGAAAGCTTGTCCTCAAATTTCCACGCCAAAGAGAATAAACTTGGATGGATTTAGAATAAATATCTAGCCCTATAAGAATAACCAGATGGAAACTTTTGAACATCACTCATCGGCAACAAGAACATTTAAGAGAGCATTTATATAGGAGGACCATGGGTTCTGCATTTATGACATGTCACTATGGCTGTGGGCACTATTTGTGTTAAGATTTATTTTTGACATGGTTAAACAATGTTTTCCTGAATGTTTCTTCTGGTAATTAATGTTTTCTCCTGGGTTCTGTAGTTTTGTTTTCTGATTTTTTTTCAGTTTCTTTAAGTCATCAGACAACACAGGATTTTTCCACTTTCTGAGATGCATTAATAGTGTGCTTGTAATTGCCTGGAATATTTTGGAATTAACTGGTGCCTAGAAAGAAATTAGTCAAATGGCATGCCCGCATGGAACATTTTCAAAAGATATTGTTGAGTCTCAAGTGCCCTCTAGTGGTAAATATAGCATAGCAAACTAAATTGGATGTACAAATAAGAGAAAACATGTTTTATAAAATTCTGACATTTCTCCTATTTATTCAAGGCACCTTAGGATGCACGTAGAATACCTTTACTGGAATCATGTGCTCTTTGAACACTAATTTCTATCTTATGTTGCCCTGTGCCAGTTTACCCTTCCTTGTTCAGATGTCACCAATAAGAAACCCAGGGACAGTGAGAAAAGAGAAGACGATTCCTGTGGGTCTAAGGAAACACAATTTTATGGCCTGATCTTGATAAGGGCTGAATTTGGGGGTGTAAATAGCACTTTTCAGGATCTCCTTTGGGTTTGATCCCACATGCTTAAAGCAAGCGGGACATTGTTCACTGTTCACTTAGGGTTTGAACCTGTCCTTATAAAAGTCAATAACAAAACTGTACTTAAGAAAAGGAAAGAAAAAAAAATCTAATAACAAACTAAAATTCTGGAGACCACTGTTTCTAAGGATCCCTATGTGACTTTACAAATCGTAATGATCAGACTATCCCTCTGTGATCAATAAATTGCTCGTCTCTATTTTAAGGAGAGAATGAAACAGCCAAGATACGTGATGTGACTAAGGTCATACTGACAGGTGCTAGAACAAGAACCCAACAGTTTTTTCATTGAGGGGTCCTGGTCTAATCATCTGCCTAGCTTATATCTAGTACCTGATCTAGGAATACTTTTAGAAGCATTTGAAACTGGTCTTAGTTATTTTATTAATAAATCTGAAAATAAATGGTTTTGTTATTATTATTATTATTTTTTTTTTTACAAATCATATTACTATTATTTGTTTCACCTAAAAAATATTCTTGTAGTGGGGGAAAAGTCATGTTTTCTTACACTTTTAACCCAAATATTCCATTGGGAAATTAACAATAAATTAAAAAACAGTGGGCAAATACAAAAAAATGCTACTTTTTCTCACTTAGAAATCTTAAACATAAGTAAAAGTAGTACTCTCTCTCACTACCTTATTACAACTTTTGTTCACGTTTTCCTCTGAACAAAGAGTGGAAAGTTAAGTAAAGCTAAAAAAAGAGAGACTCATTTTCAAAAAAAGGAACATTTCAAGAATACTGACATTTTAGAGAGTTCCACTTTTTTCTCATAAAAACAAGACATTTTGTTGAAAATTGTTTCCACAAAAATTTCTGTTTCTTTGACCAAGAATACCTTTAAATTTCAAGGAGCTTTGCTGTTTTTCAGCTTACAATATTTTTGTGATATTTGAGGGCTTATAAGGCTGTTTTGTGTTATGGACCTGCTATTTTTAAATGAGAAGTTTAAATCTGGTCTATGGATGACCCTCTACTTCCCTAGAAGAAATGAAGGAGTACCTCTCAGACAGCACATGGCCAATCCAGGTCCCACAGCCTCATCACCAGGGATCTCGACTGAAAAGGGCATTGATTTTCTTTTTACTTGTACAGCTACATTCACCTTATATACCTGTGGAGATCTTTAGGGAGAACAGAACAAGTAAAAATTGAAAAAATACACATGGATTCTGTGTTTCTTGTTTTTTCCTACAGTTCACTTAAAATAGGAAATGGCAGGGTAAATGTATGGTGTTTGTTAGATTAATACCACCTTTTTGATGATCTCTGAGTCTCTCTTCTTTGCAAGAGGGCATTTGTCATAAGATGGTTAAGTGCAGGAGAAATTCCAGCCTTAGATATTACTTTGGAGATTTTGTGGTTTTCACTGGAGAGGGACAAGTGCAAAATGCGCAACCCATTGCACCATCTGGAAAATATTACTTTTGTCAGCTACCTCTGTGTGTTACAGGGACAGCCAGTCAAAATTTTATAAACAAAATGTTTTTGGATGAAAAAAAGGTTTTACAACCATAACAGGAACATGTGTGGAGTTTTCTTAAATTGGTTAATATTTTTACTGTCCTTATTTAGGATAGAAAATAATGGTACATTTCCAGTAGAAAATTTTGGAGCTCAGTAAAAGAAATTCCAGCAGTTTACTGTAATTGCTTTTCTATTTAATGAAAATGCTCTTTAAAACATTTTTTTCTTGAAAATATACAAGAAATAATATTTCTTGACCAGCTGTTGTGACAGTACAGCTCAAATATTTCAAGAACAAAATGGCTAAGCTGTCACAGAGTATAGCAGGCATGAATATAGGAGATGGTGTACTGCTATATGGTCCTACTGATAAGGGAGAAGATAAGTGACATGTGTAAGAGGCTGAGGCAGGAAATGCTTCAAGGCTAAAGCTTAACAGGGAGAAGTGCTGTTTGTGCACAAATTAGTTGACCTTGCTGGGTCACAAAATTAAGGCTCGATCCTGTTCTGTCGAAAAACCAATGATACAATTCTCCTCTACTTCAGTGGAAACGGGATCAGGTCCTTTGTAAGGAAAAGATTAGCTTGGACCTCAGATAGTTCAAAGCACTAGTGAAATTGCAATCTCCTTAGTATGGGAGATTTAAGACATCTATTGGACATGGTGAGCTACCTGTGCAGAGCCTTAACCGATATTTTTGGCATGATTCAGCTTTCCAACTGACTGTGCAGATCTGATCTAGCTTGGTTATGATAACGCTGCTGCCAGTGCAAGCCTACCTGTGAAAATGAAAGTGCTGTTATCAGCAGCACCTCCGCTGGGTGTTATGGCATGACAAAACCAGTTATAATAAATTCAGATGACGGAAGCTATGTCCCAGAAAGCTTGCTGCAGCAATAGGACTCTGAAATAGGCCCAGAGGCCATTGGTTTGCTTTTATTTTCACTGACAGAGCAAGCTGTGGCTTGCATTTTTTTCCAGCTCACCATTGACCAGTAACCACCAGTTCCACTGTTTGCCAGTAAAGGTTTCAGCTAGGGGCCAGGGGGTATGCGAGCAGTTCACTGGGGCTTAGCCCTCAGACCATCAATTGCTGCTATGGTACTAAACACCAGGCTGAAAGTTGGATGTTGAGAGTACCAGGTTAGGGCTTATTTCCTGGAATCAGTTCTGAATGGTTCTGATTCCCATCAGTCAGACACTTCACTAGGGAAGTAAGGCAGCTCCTCATTTGCTTATCCTACTTGAGCTTCTCCTAGGTGAGAAAAAGCACAATGCTTAGTTAAGAGCTAGATCATGGGCAGAAAGTTTCTGGCTCAAAGTTAGTCTAGCTCCATGGAGGGCCTTGCTAGTATCTCAGAACACATGAGCAACGGCTGTCAGACTACTTTGGGAGTTGTACGTCCATTCTGCGGTTTCCTAGATCGATCTAAAATTTTCAGTGAGGGGAGGAACAGGAAAAGGAGAAGGCAAGAATCTGCAGGGTAAAAGAATATAGAAGAATAGTGCCGTTAGCACTGGTGTTGGGAGAGAACCAGGTAAAAGCTGGATGCATGGTGTGTGGTATACCTCAGGATGGGCACACTTTGAGGAGAGAAGGACATGTTTTAAAGGCCCACGCACAACTCCACATCACCTCATTCCAGGTGTAACGTCCCTCCCAGCATCACTAATGAGAGTTTGGGCTTTTGGTAAATCGGTTTCATAGATTATGTTATATAAAGAGATGCCTTAAAGGTCTCTCTCAGGAATAAAGTTTATGCCATAGTCTCTCTGCTCCCTCCCTTCGTCCTTCTCATCACAAACCCCTCTGTTTAGCAAAAAAGACCCAAAAGAGGCTCACTTCTTGCCGTACTCCTTCATTCCCATCAGTTCAGGCACATGAATCCTAAAACAACTCCCATTTCAGTGCTGCTGTTCTCAGCTTCTGACTCCAGTTACTTTGTATGAATGATCTTGAGTTAGGTTGAGATGGGCTGACACAGACTCAAGAGCGAGCCTCTGATGGGTTGATTCATCACAGCAAGCTTTTGGCAGATTTGTGTTACATGAAGGTACAGAGGACTGTGACTTTGTAAAGAAGACAACATGCACTTTGTCTATTAAAGTTTGCCCCAGGCTGCTCATTTAATGCGGCTCTCCAGAGAGCTTGGCAGACACTAAGGCACAAACAGCCAAACAGAACAGATGAAAGATCTTCTGCTCTATGAGAAACATAGGAGCTTGTCTGGTAAATATTTAACACGGGGAACTCCCTTTCCTTTCTGTCCCCACCCCTCCATATGTATTGAGCATGCTATGGTAGCAGAGGGCAAGAGCCTCAGGGGATGTACTAGCACTTTCCAGCACAAACACCCGTCACAATGAACCACACAAAGTATAAGCAGAGCAGACTGTTCATACTCAGGGCACTATGGGATGCCAGGTGGAGCAACAGCATGTAAGAAAGGCTTTGGGGCAGCTGTATTTCTCTGCTGCTTTCTGAATGACCCATGGGTTTTATATAAGGGCTTTGGCTACAGGCAATAGGTATGTGTTTGATCTCTTCCCTTCCAGATCACTGCCAGGTGTTAAAATTAGCACTACTTCAATATTTTCCCAAAAAAAAAAAAAAAAAAAAAAAAAAAAAATTTCCTTCCTTTGAGAAATAACATTGTCAAAAGTGAAACGCAGTTTTCCATGTTATTTTGTTTTGGGGAAAATGTTACAAAAAGAAAAGAAAACCTTAAAAGATTCTGAAAAGTTAAAACATTTTGCTTCAATGGATTAGTGATGGGAACACTTTGATTTTTCCATTTTGAAATTTATGTCACAAAAAATACTCTAATATATTGAGTATACTCAATATATTCCCATAATCATAGGAAAACCTTTCAATTGACCCAGATCAGATTTGTTTTTCTTTTAGGGAAAAATGGTTTTATTCCATTTCAAAGCAATAATGGAAAATCCCCTGAAGTGGGAAACCCAGCTCCCCATATGAGTAATGGTGAGAAGTATCACTAGACATTTGCTGCGCCTCCTGGTTATAGTAAGCAATTTAAGGTGAGAGAGCACTTGTAGTCCTAACCATAAGCCAAAGGGGTTGTGCACATGCTGCACCAATTCAGGAGTTGCTGCAGGAGGTGGTGTGCCTCAGAGACACCCGTCTGAGACAGGCTCTCTTTGTGCCATAGGGATAGTAATTTGGTATTATCAGTGTCAGCAGTATATTATGAATTCCTCATATAAAACACACCTATGGCCACCCACTCAAATCATGATGTGTAAAGAAAATTCTTAACCTTTAGACCCCTGTAGAGGTGTACAGTCCTCATCACAGTATGGCCTGCACATTTAAAAATCTCTTGCTAGTTATATTAGCAATGAAAGAGCTACAGCGAGTGTCACCGGTCAGCCCCTATGAGGGGAAGCTCTGCCTTGGGATGCCTCAGAAAGAAGTCTTGTCCAGTAACCCTCCCAAAGGGTTGCCTGAAGCCAGCCCTGGCATAGCTTCACAAATGACAAGCCTCTGGCTTTGAGACCTTGGCTCATCTCTGGTCCAGCTATCCATAGTATCCCACATTGAAGAGCTTCTTCTTTGATCAGGAAAAGGGCTGTTTTCCTCTTAAAAAGTGGGGTAGAGTGCAGACATCCCAGACAGCACAGCAGATAGCTCATCTCCAAGCAGCCTTTATGAGGCCACTGCAGTTCCCTCTGTCCTCCCTCCAGCTCCTCCTTTCTCTCTCCAGCTCCCTCAGCCTCTTTCCTTCTCCTTAGCCCTGGTGCACTGCATTATTTTCGTGACAATTTTATTGCTATAGTATTAATAAGGGGAATAATACTCACCCAATCAAATGACACATATTATGGTGAATCAATCAGAGGGTAGGTCTCGGGGGGTGAGGGGGGGCCTGCTGCCAGGCTCAAAGTACCATCTTTTCCTGGGATAAAAAGGGGCGTCTAGATGTCCTACTTATGAAGCTATTTATATCACTTATTTAGTGCTCACAGTGAGACTGTGCACCCCCAACCCCCCAAAAGAGTGCTCTCCTCCCAGAGCTCAGGCCAGAAGTCAGTCCACTTAGCCTCTCTGATGACAGTGACAGGGGTTCTTCCTTACCTGCCATCCGGCTAACAGCTGACAAAGCAACAGGTCCCTGTCCCCTAAAACCAGAGGTCCTCCTAAGCCTACTTTCTCCAGCCCAGAAAACATCTGATCAAGCAAACAGCCCATCTCAAATACTAGTTTCTGCTGAGAATCAGCATGGAATTGCCAACTCCTGTCACAGGCTACCATAACAATCTCAGCCTTGAATGTTGCTGATCCTTCTTGATTCCTAGCGGCACGCTAGAGAGGAAGCCACTGTCCTCTTATCTCAGAGTCACTCATTTCTGCCATCTGTGTTTGGGGTAGGGTGACCACCCATCCCTAATTGGGCGGGACAGTCCTGAAATGGGAGCATCATGTCCCGGTCCCGGACTGCATGACTCTGGGACAGTGTTCGTCTCAGATTCCCAGTATTGTGCATGGATCTGGGTTTTCTGTTCACTGCGGAAAAATGCAGGAAACAATGGCTTTCCCCCTGCAGGCTGGCAGAGATCCAGCCTACAAGGGGCTGCAGGGAGTGGGATGCAGGGGGTGCCACGTGCATGAGTGTGTGTGCGCACACATGCTCATGGTCAGGAATTCAGCCCCAGGCAGCAATGGAGAGCAAGTCCCCCAGCTGCCTGCAGGTAAGTCTATGCAGGAGGGGCAGATTGAGGCCCCCACAGTGAGGGAGGGAGTGGGGCTGGGTTGGCATCTGAGCTGGGAGCACTGGCCAGCCAGGG